GAGGACAAGGTTCCTCAAGCTGAAGACAAGGTTCCTCACACTGAAGACAAGGTCCCTGACGCTGAGGACAAGGTTCCTGACGCTGAGGACAAGGTTCCTGACTCTGAGGACAAGGTTCCTGACGCTGAGGACAAGGTTCCTGACGCTGAGGACAAGGTTCCTGACGCTGAGGACAAGGTTCCAGAAGCTGAGGACAAGGTTTCTGACGGTGAGGACAAGGTTCTTGACGCTGAGGACAAGGTTTCTGACGGTGAGGACAAGGTTCTTGACGCTGAGGACAAGGTTTCTAATGATGAGGACAAGGTTCCTGACGCTGAGGACAAGGTTCCTGACGCTGAGGACAAGGTTCCAGACGCTGAGGAAAAGGTTCTTGACGCTGAGGACAAGGTTTCTAATGACTGAGGACAAGGTTCCTGACGCTGAGGACAAGGTTCCTGACGCTGAGGACAAGGTTCCTCACGCTGAGGACAAGGTTCCTCACGCTGAGGAGAAGGTTCCTGACGCTGAGGACAAGGTTCCTGACGCTGAGGACAAGGTTCCTGACGCTGAGGACAAGGTTCCTCACGCTGAGGACAAGGTTCCTCACGTTGAGGACAAGGTTCCTCACGCTGAGGACAAGGTTCCTCACGCTGAGGACAAGGTTCCTGACGCTGAGGACAAGGTTCCTGACGCTGAGGACAAGGTTCCTGACGCTGAGGACAAGGTTCCTGACGCTGAGGACAGGGTTCCTCACGCTGAGGACATGGTTCCTCACGTTGAGGACAAGGTTCCTCACGCTGAGGACAAGGTTCCTCACGCTGAGGACAAGGTTCCTCACGCTGAGGACAAGGTTCCTCACGCTGAGGACAAGGTTCCTCACGCTGAGGACAAGGTTCCTCACGCTGAGGACAAGGTTCCTCACGCTGAGGACAATGTTCCTCACGCTGAGGACAAGGTTCCTGGCGCTGAGGACAAGGTTCCTGGCGCTGAGGACAAGGTTCCTGACGCTGAGGACAAGGTTCCTGGCGCTGAGGACAAGGTTCCTGGCGCTGAGGACAAGGTTCCTGGCGGTGAGGACAAAGTTCCTGGCGCTGAGGACAAGGCTCCTGGCGCTGAGGACAAGGTTCCTGACGCTGAGGACAAGGTTCCTCACGCTGAGGACAAGGTTCCTCACGCTGAGGACAACGTTCCTCACGTTGAGGACAAGGTTCCTCACGCTGAGGACAAGGTTCCTGGCGCTGAGG